TTATACTGTTATGTTATTGTTTGAAATGAGTGCTTACTGCCCCTTGCGTACGTTACTTATGTTTTTAGTTTTATTTATTAAATCTTATTTATTTGTTGTTTTAATTAACTGTTAAAAAAAGAATTGTTAAGTAATTCTTCATGACCCCAATTACCCGGTAACTTTCAAGCCCTTTATCAAATAACGTTGAGAAAATGCATGTATGACTGTCCGTGACGCTGGGCCGCGGTTACGTGGGGCGGAAATAGTCAGCGGAACGTCACAGCGGAACCATTTGAGCCATCGAGAGTGAGCCACAACTTTACTTTTTTAAGACCAATTTGTGAAAGTACTTTTTTTGCATTAATCTTCAATTCGACAAAAGTATACGTCTGATCGTACTGAAATTTTGTATCGTTGTTAGTGGTCACAAAAGCAAAACGATGTAAAAAAATTTCAGCTCTCAATTTTTAGATAGACAAGAGTGATATTTTTTTTAATTTCGAAGAAAATTGATGGTTTTTCGCAATTTGCAAAGACAGCGGTGAACCAATTGGGTTCATCGACAGCATATTTTTTTCTTCTTTTTACGGTGCATTTTTTTTAACTCAATCTGTTGAGTTTTGATACAAAAAACTGATTTTCGATATTTTTATCTTTTTTTTTACCATCATCGAAAATATTAATATTTTTGATTTAAGTTATTTTTCTATTTGTACTGTTATCATCTACATATTTAAATCAAAGTTTTACCTGCCACATTCAGAATTGACAAAGCCAAAAAGCTTATTCCATCACACTAGTAGACACAACGTTCATTTTTTTCGGCTCATATGACTTTCTGTGACAACACATGCTTTAAGAAAATGATTCAAGTCATGGGATGAAGGTAGACGGAAAATACGGAAACTTCCATCTAAACGCACAATTCAAAACTTCGAACCCTCGGTAACGTTGGGCTGCGTATACACGGAGGCTTGAACTTCCAGGACCAGCCATAAGCCCGTGAGAGTACGAGTGAAAAGCAAAAACATATACTCTGTTTCTCGCAATTTTCTCCTAAATTTATCCACCAGAATGATTCCTTAATCATGTCTTAAAACATCTGCTCACTGTTAAAAACAACATTCCGTGAACTTGGTAAGATAAATGTACCAATGCTTGGCCACCAAAAAATTGGTCCCAAAGACTGGCCACAATCACAATTTTACGATTTGCACGAATTTTTTCAGCTGTAAGAAATATTTTTATTAATATTTACGCTTAAAAATTTTATAAATTTCATTGTCAATAGTTATCTTGATAATATTTTAACCAAGAAATTAGGAAAAGGTGTTTCTATAAAGTGATTTTGGTTGGCTGGCCAGGCTTTGGGACATCTGTCAACGTAACCTCACTTTTGGTGTGTCCTAGTAACTGGACAATGTTAAGGTGGCTCCAGCGCCTAGTGCCGTATCAAAATGGAGAGACTAAAAATTAAGGACGTTCGGTAGTGATTGAATTTTCCAACGAATTTTTCTGAAATTTTGACCAGACGTTTTTATTGTTGTTACTATAAACCAGTCAAAATTTAAAGAGGTTCCTCTGTTTCGTTTTCGAGATATTGAATTTCAAAGTTAAGTCATTTTAACACTGTCGCTTATGGGAGAACTGATTAAATCACAGTTTTAAGCAAATTGGGCCAGTGAATTTGGCCAATTTTTTTATATGTTACAGATAATGTTATTAATTTGATGTATACCAAGTTTTGCGACGATCGTCTGATTCGTTTATGAATAAAAAATTAAATAAAAGCTCGACCGAAACGCAACGGCAACGTCGCAAGTGGCGGAAAATTCAAAATGTTCCAGGATGTTGATCAGTAAATATCTCAATATTATTGTAGATATTTATGCATTCACGCATAAAATACAATTTTACGTGTGTGCGTGAGTGTATGTACAGAACGCCCACCCCTTCCCATGAAAAACAATAAATGTTAATAACACGCTATTTATTTTTTTTTTAATTTTAAATTTATTATTTCTTCTTAAGATACAATTTTTTTGCACATTACAAAATCACATGCTCATAGTTTGAATCACTCATCTTAGAAATCATCCTACTTATCTGACATCCCATGCTGTATGAGACTTGTCAAGTCATTTAAAAATTCAAGTATTTTATTTACACTGGTAGCTCTTTTGATTAAAGGGCTTTGCCCATTTATTAGAAACGATCTTGAACCATCATTACCTTCCATAAATTTATCAACAATAATATTAAAATCTACTTTATTTTGACTTAGATTTTTAATCACTGTTTTGGGAATGATAGACGACATGGGGGAAAAAGTTGGCGAATACATTTTTTCATTAGAAATTCTTTGAATTTTCGCAAGAACATCTTTTACGGAAAACACGTTCGTTGAAATATCATCCCATGAAAGATATGTAGCGGTTAATTTTTCTAATAAATCAATATCAACTATTGCATTATGAGCGTTTTCAACAGACAATGTCAATAAGTCTTTTCCAAGATCTGAAAGCTTATGATTTTTCCTATTCGGAAAATGTAACAAATACTTACAGCTTTATCACAAAAACATTGATACACGAACGCTGTCGTAACCGACGCAGCATGCAGCAGACGAGCAGACAGTGTAGAGTGTGCAGAGACACCTGATGCGTGTACATGAACACTCACACATTTAAGACCCGTACGACGTTGCCAAATCTTCATTCATCGCTGGTTTCCCCTCACCGCGCAAATGTTTCCCCCCGCTAACACTACCGAACGTCCTTAATCATTATTTTCTTTAAAATATGGTATAAAATTATCGTAGAGACTGTTGTAAGCCATATTCTACATTTTATCTGTTACTTTAGTGAGTAAATATAAAAAAACAAAAAAGTTTTATGGTGCCCTAATTGATGAACTGTTACGGTACGCTCCTAAGTTCAAGAGTAGTTATACCTATATATATGTACTCTGCAGAATGCAGACAGCTGAGAGCTGACTTGCACTCGCAACTGTATAGTACTTAGTCTCCGATTATTTAAAGATTTTGTTCGATAACAAGACACTTTTCTCATGTCATCGAAAACTGCGTAATAATATATACAAGATAGTATATTTTTTACACCTTATGGGTTATTTATATAAGTGCAGCAGTAGGTTGTATATCGCGTAAGCTTGCATTTCCTATCCAACCCGTCTTAAAACTACGATTTTGTAAGCATCATTTCTTACAATTTTCATCGTCAAACTTAATTTTTTTTTATACGAATAGAAAGATGGGAATTCAAAGAATGTAATTCAATTTTATTACCCTCGGTTGGGTTATTTATAATTTTAACATTGAGGCCACTGGAGCCACCTTAATTGCGTACAATTCGTACGACTGGCCAGTTATTGGGACTTGAAGTTTTGGCCAAAGGGACAAGTTTTTCCTACAGTGGCCAAGAATTGGGACATTCAATCATGTCAAATGATAAATAAAAGCTTTTTTCTGTGTATGCAAAAAATTTTTTCTTTTTGGTACAGCTCAAAAGAGTGTTATAACTATAAAATAATGCTCATTAGGACTAAAAATTTTACTTTTTTTTCATATTTATGGAGTACTTTATAAATTAGTCTACTAAGATGGCCAACGTTTGATACATTTACCTTACCTTTAATAAATTTCTACATAAGTAAAGAGAAATCGACTACGTATAAATTTTTTTTTTATAGTGTATTCACCTCTCATGAGACAATTACAGTGAGTATACATAATTACGGTAACTCCTTAGACTCGTAGGTGTACTCCAAAAGTCAAGCTCGCTCCTTATTGGTTACTTAATAATTATGACATAAAATACATTAAGACTCAAATGAGCTACCAATGAGTGACGAGCTTGGCCCAACCTGTAAATTTTTTGTTCATAAATCGCAGACACCGATGTGCTTAAAAGAGTTATTGGCATAAGCGATGCAGGAAAGGCGAGGATACAACTCGGATTCTCATTTACAATACTTGCGCCTTGATGTGCTATATTTTCCCCGGCATGAACTATATAGACGTATGCGTATGAACATTGAACACACTACAAGACTAACGATACAGTATGCAGTCGATATATGCCCAAGTCGATAATAGTTCCCATCTTTACCGACTTGGCGGTACTTTCGGCGAGTCTCAGCACTCGGTACTCGGTACTCTAGCTCTAGCTCATATATATGTGTGTATACTGTGTATACATATATACCTACGATGTATATACATGTAAGATTCTTCTATCCTTCGATTCTCTGCTGCTCTGTCCCTTATTCTACTGTTTGTGTACGGCTGCAAATCTTTAGCTTACTTTAGTTATACATCATTCGCTTCGATGGTTCGACGCGCGTAGATACCTAGCCATCGAGCAAAAAGCGCTCTCTCGTCAGGGTCAGTTATAATTGTACGAATTCCGTATTCCGTACCTACAAGATAAAGGTAATATCAAGCAGCCGGTGGAGGAGGAACCTATACGTGTCGGTTTTAGATTGGAGGGAGCCCACTTTAGTACAACAGTAACGTGTGGAGTCCGTGGAGTAAAGAAACCTGCAATACTTATTAGGTATAGGTAGGAACGTATAGTAGAAAGGTAGGCTGGCATAACAATACTGAAAATATCGGGGCAAGACGGCCATTTTGTTGTTCATCGGTGTAAATTATTTTATTATATTGTTCCAGTGTGTCTTTCCTAATTTTAGCACATCTGCTCTTGAATCTCTCTCCACACGGTGGAAGGTGCGCGCCATTCGGAAGATCCCTGCCCTACATCGCTACTTTTGGCACAGCGGCAGTACAGAGCGCCATATTGCCTGAGCGTGTAGATCCCGTTGTGAGTGACCGAGTGCTTACTACCGCATCAACTCTCGCTGCATAATTTCGGCGCGTAATTTTCACCACGTCTTACTTATATATACATGGCGATGACATGTTGTTTTCTTACTAAGAACCAGTTAATTTTCTAAACAGGGTTTTAGATACACGGCAATCTAACTTCCACATCATCATGGACGCTAAGGGAAGCATGAAAACGTACGTGCGTAAACGTAAGGGCGACAGTCCGAGCAACGTGATTATCCACCTGAACGAACTGTGCCGCTTATGTCTGGCCAAGGAGGATGAGATGCTTCCTATCTTTGATGAGGATGCGATGCCCCTGCCCCTAAGGATCATGGCATGTGTCAACCTTGAGGTTTGTACAACATCAGCAGCTCTCTTGTATGTTCTTATGTCTGTATATTACTGATACAAGCCCTCAGACCCGGAAAAATTTTGTACAAGCTTGTGTATGTACTCTGAACACAATACAGGATACCCCCATACCACCCTTCCGTTTGTACCTTAGGGGCATGAAAGTGTTCCTGTAGGTATGTACTTATTCTAGAAGACCTACATGGTGTAATTACCTTCTCTGCCAGTCTATGACAACTTAAATACTTACCAGAACACTTCATTAATTCAATGCCTTTGGAAAGTTGTTAATGCTGCTGAGACATGCCAAGTGATGACATGGAGCCGTTCTTCCGGCTCACCGACTCATTGAAAGCTAGGAACCTATTTTATCTCTTTGGAGAAGCTCACGGTTAATACCATCGCGCAATCATTCGTTTAGCTATAAGTGTATACATATAATACAGGTACAATTCTATAAAATATATATATATATATACATATACATGCAATACTTGGGTGTTTGCGCACGTATCGACGTATCATCCTACGTTTTCTCTTCTTTGCCTTCCGTCCTAACCACTTGCTCTGCTTCATGTACCTACTTGCGGGTATGCTTATTTGTTCACGTGCAGCAACAATAATATTAAATGTACCTACGTACGCACTCCATCGATTTTTATACAGAAGAAATCATCTGATACAGCATATATGTAGCTATTGTTGCTTATACTACTGTAATGTAGAAAGTAACTACCATCTTTACCGAGTTATCGACCTCTTTCTCACCTGCCGCGCACGTTGCTCCCTTAACATCCTTTACCTCTCTTTGATCGAAGTCCTTCCATCAGCTCTTTAACTCACATGTGAGATGCACTCATCACTTTCTAGCTTCCTCCTGCTTGATGATCCGCAGATGTAGCATAATTACAATGACATAAAAGATCGCCACAACAATCGCTGGTCGGTTCGTCAGTTAATCCACACGAAATCCCAAGCAGTCGATCCATACGCAAGTGTCGCCCTTTTCTCATCAAACGATATCCATACAAATATTTACTTATATAGTTAGGTATGCAGGTAGGGTTTCATTTATTGGAATTTTTTCTTAAATTATAATTGAATGCTAAAGTTAGCAAGACCAATTTACCGACTGATTGCTCACCTATGGTTTTCTCATTACAAGTAATTGGAAAGGACAATCTTTTTTTTATCACCAGTTACTGAGTGAAGAGTAAATACTGAGTAGATGGTTTTAATTAATATTTATTTTGAATGATAACATTTTCATGTCCAAAGACCTAGGGTTGTATCCTGTAATCAAGTTTAAATGATGAAAAACTCGCTCCAAGAGAATCTTTTTTTTTTTTTTTTTTTTTTCTAATTTAAATTTCAATTCAAGGTTTACGAAGAGGACGGTCTTCCCAACATGATTTGTCACCCCTGCAAGTACCAATTGGAAAAGTCTTATCAGTTTAAAAAGAAATGTGAGGCAGCCGACGCCAAATTACGAAAGCATGTGAAAATGATTCAACAATTGACCGGAGAAGAAGATGAAGGAAAAATCCAAGATTCTTGCTCGGATGGCGAGCAGGTCCAATCCAGCGGGAAATCTAAGAGAGTCAAGCAATTGCTCGCCGATTTGGTGTCCTCCAAGACAGAAGCTAGTAGCAGCCAGGCAGACGGTGAACCCATCGAAGTCACGGAAGAAGAGCTTGTTGGTGGCTACATACTGGGAGTCGGTACTGAAAATGCCGATATGGATGAGAACTTTTCGGAAGGTCCGGAAAACATTACTCTTACGCCTTCTGAAGGGCGAATGGCGAAAGCTCGATGCACAATGAGAGCTGCTAGAATAAAACAAGAACAAGAATCGGAGGATGAAGGCGATGAGATTGAAAAGCCACTCAAGTCAGAGTCCCAAAAGGTTTACATGATGGAAGTCCAGAATTCATCGCAGACTCTCCAACAAAAACAGCAACCCATGCATCCAGCAATAAGTAATTGGATCATTTTCACGATGTCTTATAGTGTATCCAAGATAAACCAATACCAAAGTATATTAATTTTTAAATTGTTAAATTTTAGTTGAAAGTGGCGGAGAGCTCAAGGTATTCCAGTGTGATAAATGTCCAAAAGCCTTTACACGGAGAATCATGTTAAAGAGTCACCAGTCGGTGCACAGCACACAGCGAGGCTTTACCTGTCAAGCTTGCGAGAAATGGTTCCCAACGAAATCAGCTTTAGTGAGACACGAACGCACGCATACCGGCGAAAAGCCGTTTGGCTGCAACATATGCCATCGTGCCTTTGCCCAGAAAGAGATTCTCCTCCGCCATCTCATGACTCACTCGGGACAAAAACCCTTCCAGTGCCAGCACTGCGAGAAGAGCTTCACCCAGCGAGAGGCTTTGAAGGTCCATATGCGACGCCATCAAAAGTTAAACCCCAACGAAATACAACTGCACCATTGTCAACTTTGTCCTAAGGCTTTCTGTCACGCTTCTGGACTCAGTAGGCATCTTGTCACTCACACGGGCAGGACGTACAAGTGCGTCGAGTGTGAAAAATCATTCACTGACAAGAGCTCACTGCTGCGGCACAGTCGTATCCATGCTCCAAAAAAAATTCTAACCAATCCAATTTAATTTTGATATAACAGTGAACGTTTCATGTACATATTCTTTTTGAATAACTCTTAATTATCCAAATAGAAAGTACCCTTTATATGGTCTGTCTACTGCAACTGAAAATGGCCCGAATTCAACATAAGCTCAGGTTTGTCTTCGAGACGAATATAGTATGTTTTGCTTAGTTGATTCATCATTTTTCATTCATATAGTTACTATTTTGGATGCAATAAACTAATGTAATACCATCATTTTATTAAAAAATGAATACACCAATTATTAACAATAGAAGTTACACATTTTATTGCCTCAAAAATAATAACTGTATGAATCAATCAACTAAGCATGACACACGACACATGAAAATTCGAACATTCGGTATATCGGTATGCCGCCTTCGGCTTACCGGCGCGCTTGCGCTCATGACGAATTCGTTCGTGATACCTTCGGTTTTAGTAGACGGGATATAACTGGCCCAAGCACTCACCGAAAATATATACTTATTTCTATTCAGGTAATGCAGATATATATATTATACCTGTCAGGTCTCAGAGACATTTAAACTTTTTATACTTTAATGCATTTTAAGTCATTAATGTGAAATAACTATTTACATTATTCATAGTATTTAATTTTTGCTATAAACCGGTAATTTTAATTACTCTACGTATTGGTAGTCAAACAAAATATACTTTTTTTATTATTAGAATATCATGAAATTTAGTGACTGCAACGTCCGTAATAACTGTTGGATTCAATGTACAAAACTGGTTACTAAGTGTGATTTACTAGATTAATCATGTCTAAAATCTGTAAGAATTGCTTGTCAGACAGTGTATCTAAAATTTACCATTATTCATCTGTAAAAATAATGTTTGTAAATACAAATTGATTGATTTCTAATAAGTAATTAATATATCTTAACTGAGTTTCCCTCAATACCGAGATTTATGTACACACAGAACGAGTATGAAGCACCAAGCCGTGTATCAAGTTGTTTAACAATGTATTTGTATTGTAAATTCGTACTTACATGCATAGTTTTACTGAAAATATTTGACCCTGATTTTTTTTTTATAATAATCTTTTTAATCAAAAATTTTCAACGTGGAGAAGACGTTATTGGTAAAATTTGAGTAGGAATATTTGTATATAAATTAAACATTCTCAGCAAATAACTTTTTAAACAGGCGTTTTTTTATTAAAAAATCTTTTCATTATATTTTTTTTTTTCATAAACTCTTTGCTGCCAATCAATTGTGCATCTGGCGCCCAAGTTCAGCCACAACACGGCAGGGGCTGTCTGTCAGGAGTGACATGCACTAATTTATTTTATTACAATTTCAATAAAATTGGGTTAAAATAATGTGTTTTACAGTATTTTTCGCTGGGTACAATATTTCATTCGACGCGCGATATATGCCGTACGTTGTTTTAGTAATAATTTGTGTTTGTCTTTATCTAACTTTCACATGTAAAATGAACTTTCTTATCAACAGCATTAATTCTTAGTATGTAAATGTATATGCCTCTGCTGCTTTCTTAAAAAATAAAAAAAGAAATTCGCGTCAAATATCGCACGTAATAATTCTAAAAATCTACACATTAGAAACAAAGAGTTGCCGTTGCAACAGTGGTATGCAGCTGCTAGATGCCATACTTCGATGCGATAATAATAATCATTGTAATTATTCATACTCGTACTTCTGAACATTGTTTTGATTTCTTTGGTAGGCTGGGCAGGAGGGGAGCGAGGTGAAACGAAAAATGCAAAATGCATGGTTTGTTATTCGTTAAAATAATAGTATTCTTAAAATCTATAGGTTTAAATGTCACGTTTATAGTAACTGCTAAAATTGTTACCTCAAAACTACGATGTAATGGACGTCGCGTCCCTCGTGCCACACCTCCTTCCAATTTAAATATAACTTTAAAAAATACGACAGCACCTCAGCTATAATATTTCTGTATTAGAACGACAATATGCGGACCACTGTTGTTTTTCCAACGGATGATTGATATATTTACATACACATGCACGCACGCGCGCACACACACATACAGACAGATGGTTTAATTACGCAATATGCTTTTTTTCCATTTACTTTCTCATCAATGCGACTCTTCAATTTTTTATTGCAGTTTATTGTGTGATTTGATTTGGAGAAGATGAGTGTTTTAAGGACGATACGCAACGAAGCACCGTGCTTTGCAACTCTCGCCTTCATTACTGCTTTTTTGCGCTCTTTTTGCACCGGTGTGTTACCACACAGTTTTGTTCTTAACTCCTGTCTTGTCTGAGTACAGGGTAATGTCAAAATTTGTACTGTATGTCTGTTAACTAGAGACGAGACGCAGCCATATGGAAAAATACAGTGCACCAGATTTGCGCCAATTGAACGCCAACGGAGATCTTTTTGCCATTGTTTCAGTAATCTTTTGTTACGTGTTCTCAACATTGGCAGGGTTTTTTCTTTTTTTTTTCTTTTTTTTTCTTTTTTTTTTTTTTTTTTTTTTTTTTTTATTTGTTTTTCTTTTTAATTCAAATAGGAAAGTCTCGAGCGATACTTGAGTTTTCTGCACTTGCGTAATAATCTCAGAAGAGAAGAAAAAAAAGGACGAAACAAAATAGGATAAAAACCGATAAAGACAAACTAATAAAAAGGTCCTTCAAGTTAAAAATGTTAAAACGGTTACAATCAAGTTTCTCATCAATCGATAGTCAGAGATTTTGGCTGTTCCCAAGAAAAACAGTCCCGTCCAAAGTGTCCGTAACTACTGGTTTGCTGGTATATTGGATTTCTTAGATTAAGTTCCCTAAAAGTAAACCCAATACTTAGTTTTATGTTGTACTCAATAATAGAAAAGAAAAAAATACTTTTATGAGCCAACTCACTTGACAATTTTTCCAGGGCGTAGATCAAAGTTTTTGTTGACTATTTCTAGAAGTTGGCTCTGCGAATACTTTGATGTTCCATAATCAAAAACAGTGATGGATAAAGGTTCAGCAACACCAATAGCATAGGCAACCTTTAAAAAATATCTATGTTTAGGCATTGGTACAAGAATTTTGAGTAAAATAGATATTCCACTTTCATTTCTAACATGGCAGTGTAAGATGTTGCAATAAAATTTGAAACAAACCTGAACCAAACAGCGCCTGCAAAGGCCAGCTTTAACCAAGGACTTGGCAACCCATCTGGCAGCATACGCTGCTGATCTATCTACTTTAGTAAAATCTTTTCCAGAAAAGGCTCCACCTCCGTGAGCTCCCCAGCCACCGTAAGTGTCAACAATTATCTTGCGACCAGTGAGACCTGCATCACTCTGTAAAATTGTTCAAAATTCAACATATCAGCTTCGATCAGTACAAGTTCTCCTAAGTTTGAATCAATATGTAAGTGTACGAAATAATTCATAAAAGTTACGTGCGTCTTATTGGATATTATAAATTAAAAATAGGATGGCTAAAATTGCGTAAAATTATTTTCAAGTATCATCCTCAGAAATGTGTCAACATCATAGCACTCAAGAGTAGCAAATACTTAAGTTAAACATCATTGGATGAGCTCATGTTGAGTAGTAAGTTTGTGGGAACCAAATTAGATAAGACTATTTTTTACCTGTGGGCCTCCAATTATAAAAAGACCACAAGGGTTGACATGAAAAATCGTTTTTTCGTCGAGGTATCTTGCCGGAATGACTTCCTTGATGACCTTTTCCATGATGGCCTTGCGTAATTCATCAAGCGAAATCTTTTCACTGTGTTGTAGAGAAACCACCACTGTGTGGACCCTGATGGGAACGCAGGCTCCATGATCCATTATGTATTCGCAAGTAACCTAAAATGTCAGGCACATATAAATAATTGCAAGCTATTTTAAGATGATAGGTAACACTATTTCCGTAACACTTTGTAGGTATATTCAGCACTATGGATACTTATTGATGAAATTTTAAGAAAATCACAAAAGTAAATGTTTATTTAAGTAATGGAAAATGAGTATGTGTTAAAAATTGTCATTCTCAGAGAATTTTTTGTACATCAAGGCAGTCAGCAGTAGCAAATACAATACAAGTTAAACATCATCGAATGACTCTTTTACTATAATTCATACTTATGCTGCAAAATATATTCACCTGAGTCTTAGAGTCTGGTCTTGCCCACCATAAGTCACCGCTTCGTCTAAGTTCAGCGATCTTTTGGTTCAACTTGTGTGCAAGCACCACCGTCAATGGCATGCATTCATCTGTCTCATCGGTGGCATAGCCAAACATGAGACCCTATTTAATAAAATGAAAATATATTAAAAATTGACCATTTTTGTATCCCATTGGTTTGACAAAATTCAAGAGATTTAGTTAATGGTTAAAAGAAACATACATGTATCTCTTGAGATTAGTCACACAATATATTAATAGGTGCATCCGATGAAAATAGTCTGTTCTTGCAACTCATTCGTGACTATTGCAAGAAGTTTGCCTTCAAAAGCAGCAAATAACCAAATCAGATGAGAGAATGAAACACTGGATTTTACATAAGTAACAGTTTTAAATAAAAAAAAAAAATGGAATAAACGAGTTGCTGAACAGACCACTTGCAGCTTGCAGTTTTAAAAAAGCAATCATTAGTGCCTTTGAGAGGAGCAGAATATAAATATTTTGAAAAAAAATGAAATTCACAATAAGCTGTATAGAAAAAGAATGGCCTTTGGTGCACTACTAAGCTACAGTTGTAATCTATAAGATAAATGAAGCCTACACATTTACATGCATAATACACATTATAGCTGCAAGAAATAATAATATAGGATTCGTGTAACCAAGTCAACCCATTCTAACTACTTGAACAAAAAAATATACATACAGAAAATGAAAATCTTTTTATTATTTTTGTTAGGTGTACTCATCACCACATTTTAGAACTACTGAAAAACGAGAGTTGGAGGGTAAGTAGTTTAATTTGTTAAGTCGCTTACGTACTATACATCAACACTACAATCGGGAGTAAAGAAACAGTTTCGAGAGAAAAAAAAAATGGATGCATACTTATTAAAAAAAAAAAAAAACTACTAAGTGCTGCTAACAGATAAACCATTAGACACAACTAACAGAAATCTACGTGACATAGACATGTAGGAACAAAGAGTTTCACTCTAGAACACCGTCTGATAACACTGATTAACCTGGTCGCCAGCACCGACTTCTTCATCTTTACGATTCTCGTGTACGCCTGCTGCGATATTTGGAGATTGGGCATCAAGCGCTAGCAAGATGCTGCACAATTTGTAGTCAAAACCTGCAGAAAATAAGTAACGGATGGCTTCGAAACTTGTCAATGATATTTTTTTTTTTTTTTTTTTCCATCTCATCGACTGCTTTTTGAAATGATTTAAGTAGACTGTAGGAACGCTCCGTAAGCTCCAGCAGTTAATCTTCAAGTATCTCGGTATCCTAGATGACATTTAAGTGCAAGGGGAAAAGTATAACATGTTCTCGGCAAACATTTTGTTTGAAGATTTGTTATAGATGTCTTCTAGGCGTCGGATGTCCATCTGAAAGACGTCTTTTGGATTTACGACATCAAAGATGCCTTTCAGGTGTTGCTGAGTTATCTCTCTCACACTAGATTACACGGCCAGTACTTACGGAACGCATCCTGTGGATTTGTTCAAGCCCCTTTTGGTTCGATTCGGTTCTCTTAACAAAATATACCTATACTTATATAGGGAACCAAACAGAACTGGCTCTGTATATATATAGGTATATTTTGTAAAGAGAACCGGACCGAACCAAAAGGGGTTTGAACAAACCTATTAATCGGACCTTAGACCAACACACACTTTTTTTCTTGTTCAAGTTCTGGGGTCTCTGGGGGTCTGGTCGCGATACCAAATACGCAAGGATGAGCAAACCTACTATTGTACGAATCCCTTATAGCCAACCGTGCGCTCCCGCACCCTTTATCCGTTTATCGTAGTAAGTGTGTTCGTTAGTTGTACCATATCAAATTTTTTATCTCGATTAGACTCTTACTCTCATACGGTTACTCTCATACTGAAAGGGTCTTACACACGAAAAAGGATCGTGTTTTTTGATATTCAATCAAGTTAGTTAGATCCATGTAAAGAACAAAAAAAAATCAACTGTCACAATAGGTATTGAGGGGTTAAAAAGCTCTAGAATTATTTAATCATTAAAAATAAAATCGTCTATTATAACAAACTGAAGTTTCACAAAAGTAAAGTAGAGAGAAATTCGTACATCTTAATAAGTTACAAGTTTTTTTGACGTACTCTTAAAATCTAAAAAGTTAAATTAATATTCCAGATTGTTTTGAAATGTCTTCACATGTAACTACGTGGCTGAGATTGCCCAAAAAACGTACGTTTGTTTATTGTAACTCGTAGAGTGAATCATAAACAAAATTAGAGCTCTGAACTATTGTCGATGACATGTGTGGAACCTTCTTGATAACGACTTTTGACAGAAATGTTTTTGTACATTCTAGTAGCTGAAAATTCGCTTTTTCCAGTGAACTAAAATATAATTTTTGCTGTAAAAAAAGGCAATGTAAGAGTTTTTTGTCAACATAATATGTAGGCAAAAGAAAAAGATAGTGTGCATTGTTGGATCATAATTAATACTATAAATAAACAATTATAAATAAACATTGGTACAATACATATGAGTTGTCATCTACAGAGTCCATGGATTTTTATGTACAGGTATACTAGTCGCGATGTTATGCGTGCATCCATCAATTATTACGAAATCATAATCATTGCAACAATTTTAATCAAACAAAGTCTCATTATACTTCTATTTTTTGCTTCGGAATGCTAACTAAAATTCTACACCGAAACAATCATTTTGAGATTGCGAATTTGTTTTCTCTCTGTTACCTTTTTCTAACAAAAGATTAAATAAATTTTAAGTACGTAAGAAAGAGCGAATTTTACGCTCCAAGAATGTGCGAAAAACATTGCTGTTAACATGGCCTCACTTATATTTTATAACTTAAAATAAAATACAAAATTTGTCGGTTTCCAAAAAAACATCTGATGAAAAAAAAAAAAAAAAAAATTATGTATTTTGCAGTTAAAATTTGTTATTTTCATAAGTGCATCAGTCGCGCATACAACAACGTTCTTTTTCATAAATCTACCTACTAAGAATTACTCATTCTTGTACTTAATTTTATTTTCTTTCAATTTATCGTATTATATGCTGAGATAGTGTCAAGTTTAATGTCAATAATTTTGATAATTTTTAATCTTTTTTTTTTTTCAAGTTTTATTTAATATTAATTCAACGATGCTTGTTTGAATCATCAAATTGTTAGAGATAATGTTATCAAGGAAACTCTTTTAAATAAACAATCTGTAACTCATGAGCAATTGTTTACACAAAAATATGGAAAAAAACGTTTTTTTGCTATCAATTGCGCGTTATTTTTGGCACGCAAAATTCTTTTAAGGAATTTACCCACTTTATGTTTTGGCATGTCGTATGCCCTCATACTCGTACTAAAATGTAATTTACGAAAATATAAGCGTTAGTGTTTTTCCTCTCAGACACATTGGCTTAACAAAAATTTAATGGAGTCCCTGATAGATGTATTAACTCAGCTGTGAGCAAAATTTGATTTATTTGTAACTACCCCAAGAAGTAACATAAGCTTTGATCAATCCAGATCTGATAAAAAAAAACAACAGAATACAAAAAGTTGAACTTTTGAATTAACTAAGCTAAGGCAGGGTAAAAAAACTTATTTTTTAATTTATCCACCTCATGGGTCTCTTTGGCAATGGGTTATACAAAGTTACTTGATTGTTTTTCAAAAGGGCCTTTGTCTCATAAAGAACTACTTTAAATATGTCGTCTATGCATGTATAGTTAAAAATCGATGCGATTGTATGAATGTTTGAAATCATGAAAGTTCACTCTGCTGCTCCGCGGCACAGGCGGCAAATGCAAATTGTACCTGGTCACCCGCGCCAACGTCGACTTCCTCCCTGTCTACGTGCACACCTCCAGCAATATTGGGAGATTGTTGCTCGATTGCCACCAAAAGATTCAACGTGCGCCAATCAAACCCTGCTATCAGCATTATTGGATGCTTGCATTAAAAGTTTTATTACGCCGTGCTACTCGTGGTGAGCAACACTGGGACGCTTAAAGTAATTTTTTTTTTTTCCACACACCCTTCGTTTCGCCACTTTCTTTTTGTCGCGCGATTTATAAAAGGTTACGTCTGTGCATCTATTTTTAAAACATCTCAGTCATGTTTTTGTGGTAAAAAAAAAAGCTAGTAATAAGGTAAAATATCCCACAGCGAAACGCAATCGACTAGAGGCCAAGTTTTCATTATGCACAATGTCAGAACATCATTCGATCGAAGTGATCAAATACGGGGACACGATAAAACCAGTTTTCGGACAAAATATTTACTTTGTGCAAGAGATTGCGTGAACGTCTGTTTGTACAAAATCTTAACTGGCTCCAACTTTGAGAGTCAACTCCAGATCTTTGATTCTGAATCGTACAAAAATAAGTTTTGTTTACCACAGTAAACCACAAAACTTTCGCATTATTTTTTGGACCTCATGAGGCATTCTTTTCCAGCTGATTTGAAAGAAGCGTCCTCTGTATTAGAAAGCAAACGTTTTTTTCTTTCGACCGGCATAGGCTCCGTGCACAGAACAAACAGCACCTCTAAAATTTTAACACGTTATCTTATGGGCGTAATCACTCTGATAGCAGTGGTTATCGCTCAAACTGATGTTCCCTGTCAGAAGAATCAACATTGAATATAACATGAAACTGAATCAGCCACTGAATGTCGAATACGGAATTCTACTTGCGTCCCGAATGTACAAATAGTAAAAACAGACTGCTAGTTTAGGTTTAAGGAGGTTTGGGAGAAAATTTCAAAATGTAGAATCTTGTCAAAAAAAGTGTATGCTATATTTGAGCATATCAGAAGTGCACATAAATTTTTTCAGATTTTTCAATGAGAAATTTTCGAGAAAAAGATTATTAAATATTGTCAGTTTAAACCGGTCTCTCATGAGAGAACAAGGTTAGGTTGCCTTTTAATTACAAATTACGTTACATTTTAAATGTGTTGGATTAAAAAAAAAATGTTTTTATAGATACTTTAGTACAAAAGGAAGATGCGCAACAAAAAAAATCACAACTCGCCGAACATTTTAAAAAATTATAATTAATTACAGTCGTACAGTTTCAAGTTTGTAGAGTGCAAGAGGAGGTGCACGGTAAAGGGGGCACATCTGCGCGGGCAGGGGGGACTTCCCGTTCCTCGCTTCTCTGAATGATACTCCCAAACCTCCTTAATTTATATACATCAGGTAGAAATAGAAAAATGTCTCTCTCTCTCCAACCTTTCGTATACTTTACATGTGCAAGACAAACAAATATCTACATTTGGCCTTGTGTCCGTGTGCCTATTTCTTTTTGTCACCTGAGTTTGAGCAACTAGGTCTAAATGAGTACTCTATAATTTTTTGCTAATTATTTACTATTTTGTTGCTATAGCCATTTCCGAAAAACAATGGCCCCGCTGACTCGAGACTAAGTCAGCGTAACCAACGCTATTTCTCCAAATCTCTTACACTTATCAAAACAAGCTTTGTAGCATATTCATAGACACATAATTCAGTAAATCACAAAAATAAGTGGCCTAGTTTATCAGGAGGGAGGTACATGAAGTAGAATTTCGTATTTGACAATTTAGTGGATCGAATTCGGCGGCTAAGTTCAGTTTAATGACGTAGTTGGGCACTTAGTGGATGCAACACTAAGCATGCACGTAGCATAAAAAGCCATCAGTTCCAGGGTCAGCGTCAATTTTTTTAAGGATGTTCATCACACATAGGTTTTTATGATAGATATTCAGACAACTTTAAACGAATATCTTACTCAACATTACAGATCGTTTTATTGTATCACTTTTTGTATAGTTAATTAAAAAAAAAAAAACTATTGAACAGATAATCTTATAAAGCAATCACGTAAAATTACATTTATATGGAAATAGAAATCTGTATTAAGCGTCCTTTTTTTTGTATAGAACACTATTCGATAAACATTAATATTGAATTTTCAAATAGATGCACAAGTTTGTTTAGTATGCGTAAACGCGTATGTATAGATACTTATATTAATACGTGCAAAAAAGTTAACTAGTGTTGCTGCATGTCCACGCTTCCCTAACCTCTCTAAGTTTTCCCCCTGCTGGCGCTAACTGTGATGAACATCCTTAACGTAGGTGTTTCATGACTCTCCGAGTTGAAGGTGCGACTATCAAGTTGATATTTATTAATGCTGCTTAAATCTCAAACGACTATTTATAAATATTGTTTATTTAGTCAAATTAAGTACTGATTCAAAATTTTAGATCATGATTTCCGATATAATAGTTAGTAGGAATGATCATGTAAAATTTAACCTCAAAATACCAGCAGTTGATGCTTGCCTATGCTTTCAACATACAGGAAACGAGAATGTATGACTGTGTCTATTTTAATATCTTTTGATTAACTCCGTGGAACATATATATTTCGAGAAAGCAGTGTGTTAAGTATTGCGTAAGCTTTATTGTGTCAGTTTTTTACTTAATTACGTTCAGTAAAGAAATAACTAGACTACAACTTTCAGTAAGGAAATGCTTAGTTGCCATAAGAGTAAATGTTTAGAATTTACTTTTCATGTATCATTTTTTTGCGTTTATATTCGTCAGAATTTTGAGGAGTAGTGTAGTGTAACTTAATAAATGATTTCTCAAGATTTCATGTTATTCTGTTCACAATCATTTCAAGGAAGAACCACCTTAAGATATGGAAGTTATTATAACAGTATTAAGACAAAATAGTTCATTAATTTAATTTAGCAGTCCACACATGAACAGTAGTATGTTACAAAACTCGTAATTCAAACATCACAAAACACTTTTGTTCTTTTTATTGTAAAACACGAAAGTAGTAATAGAATATATGTACAAGATTTGGTAATTAATGCAAGTGGTTTTAGGTTGTTACAAATATGGAGTGATATTGGTAAAATAAGCATTAGCAAATATTGTCCTTATGTAGTGAATTCGTAAATACTTCGTGTTTACTATATGAAGGATGTGTTTTGGAGGAGATAAATGTATTATTGTGATTTGTTTATATTTACTGGCATTCGTCAACAGATGTTTCACACATGCATGCGTCATGCACATGCGCAAACACATCAACAGCTGGTATATATGAATCAAAAAATATTTGTACTTTTATTCAGTATGTCAATATCCTTGTCGAAGCTTATCAAATACATCAATCAAACAACAATAGGAAAAATCCACGTAGACTAAATTTGAAAAAGGATTGTATCACGAACCACCAATTCTGTCAGAAATTTTATTAAAAATGTCTGTTTGTAGATGTATTTTATAACTATTTTTAATAAATGGTAGCGTATCATATGGAAAATTTTTCTTTCCCTTCATAGAATTAACCTTATTTTAATAAATATAGATATTTTACGTGGTTAACATTAAAGGTTTCATAACTTAATACTACTTAGGCGAGTGTTTACGTATGCTTGAATTATTTAATTAAAACAGTATGTAATTTTTTTAGAATGCTTTCACACAGTCTTTTCTTTACAAAAGTTTTGTCTGCTTTCTGCTTCAGAGGACGCTTTTTTACATCGATCTCAAGAGACTGGGAGTTACGTTAAAGTAAAATCTTATAACATTAATTTTTAAGTCAAAACTTAAGATGTTTGTCATAAATACTATTCTGATAAGATGCAAATGAATTTTTTCCAGACATGTACGACGAAAACCAATAGTTGTTCAATGTTTTTTTTACTGGGCCCAGTTTACGTGTTCTACCGCTATTTGATATTTTACCGTAAACAAAATGAAAAATGACATTTTGAACAATACTGTGTACTAGAATACTTTTTTTTGTTAATTGTAAATTGTTTATCCTTTCAAGAGACAGAAAATTGTTCGTTCTCAGCAGTGTGTTTTCATCATGGCATTCAAGAGTAGCAAATACACATTAACATCATTGAACGACTTTTTTTGTAATTAGCATAATAATACTGAATTAGTTTTTAATTAAGCCACATTTTTTGTAGATGACAAGCATATTTCTGACAGTTGTAACATCCAACTATAATATAGTCTTGCTTAAACTGCAAAACTGAATACTAATAAAAACATTTGATAAAGAAAATTTTCAGTTACATGTTACAAATAATTTCAGTTCAATAATTATTGATTTTGATCCGTCAAAAAATAATAATGAACGTTTCATATAGTATTATGCTGCGTCGAAGTCGCTTCATTTCGAACTGTTCATCAAAAATACTCGAAAACACAAATGTTTAGTACTGTAAACTGAGCATCATGGCGCAAGCGCTTCTTTAAATGATAATATTTTATCAGCTGATAAAAAAAAAAAAAAAAAAAAAAAAAAAAAAAAAAAAAGTTTGTACACGCCGAATTTTGATCGAACGAAGTTATTTGTACATTTCTTTTTCATTGAGATTACAAAATAATGATAAGTACGTTTATCGTCAGTTTATTTTTCTCTTAAAATGTCGTTTTCTCGCGTAATAAATAGCAACGGAATCAACTTTTTTTATAGTTTCAAATAAAGTTGAAAGTAATACTGGTGGCATATCGTCATTACATCTTGCCGTAGCATAAAAGAGAAGCGCCACAAGAACACAAGGCGATAAGAATCGGTACGCTAATAAGAACATGCTATTTTTTTTACCTTTAGACGAGTCATCGTAGCCGATGTGTTTTACGGTGTCCCGTACGATTTTTTGGTAATCCACTACTGCCTTGGACGTTATTTCGCCGCACAGTAAAACCATACCAGTCTTGGTTACAGTCTCTGTAACAGATGAAAAAAGTGCAACGTCAGCACTCAAGGACAAGAGTTTCGTGATATGGAATTGATTACACACATCCAATAAGATTGACACGTGCATTCAAAAAATTAAGTAAAATATTTACCACAGGCAACTTTGGCATCTGGGTCCTGCTTGAGATGCGCATCCAGTATAGCGTCACTAATCTGGTCGCACATTTTATCTGTAACGGTAAAAAAAAAAAAAAAAAAAAGGATTAGCTCAGTGCTTCCATTAACAATTTAAATATTTTTATTATTGTCATCACTGTGCTTATCATCATTTTCATATTAACATCATCAACGTTAAAAAATATCCACTTTGGTGAGTAACCATTGACGGACATATATCTCTTAGTTTCTCTTGTTCCAAGAATGAACAAAAATTAATTGAAATCTAATCTTATCGAGTCACTACTGACACGCATCCTTGTGCAACGCGATAAAGGTAAGTGCATAATGTCCGTCACCGACGAACTGAAGCTCCAATGCGGCGAGGCGCGCAAATATATAAGTATACACACTTCTCGGTTTCATCTCTCTGGGGACTCTCCCAGAGAGTTTCGTAACAATTGCAACTAATAGCGCCGATAGGCTCTGCTCCGTGTGAGGGCCCGATGCTGCCGTCAGAGTAAAATTTTCCTTCTGCCCGAGCAATGATAACGATCACCGATACCAGCTGATCCGTCCCTCTTTTTTCTCTCTCCATCGAGTGCGAAAACGGCAACAACAACGATGCACGGGTTTTACCGAGAACAAAGGGAACGAAAGCCACGCGCCGGAGAATCCGAAGCGTTTTTTTTTTTCGAATCAAAGTGCGCTCGATCTGAGGGGCTGACCGGGGGAATCGGTATCTCTCGGCCACAGAGGAGAAGAAGAAGGACAGGGAAGAGAAAGAAAAGCATGGCCGAGCACATGGCAACGCTCTCCCCGCGTGTCGACGTTATAGAACCGCGAGGTCACGCGAGTCCGCTGGCTAACTCTATTCGTCAGCGTACATAGCATTAGAGGAAGTAGGTACGACACCTACTGACGCCACCTTAACTATTGTATATGTGATTATTCAACGAATATTGAATCATGGAATAATGGAATGGAAAACTATGTTTGTTTTTTTTTCGACTGTTTCATAGGTTGAACATTATTATTGTACTTTAGATTTCAAGTGGGACACTAAGCAATTTAGGAAGGCATGGAGCGTTGGTGTAGAGTTGCACTGGTAATTGGGTGTATTTTAGGCACCAACAGTGCTTAGCAAAAAGTAGACGAACATCAATGCTTTTGAGGTTATACTTTTTACATTTGCCGATTAGTTAGGTTTCAGAAGATACGTATAGAGTTTTCGTGTCTTCTTAAAAAGTAGAATGTAGATTGGATGGATCCGGCCCCTCTTTGCATAACTCGTAATGCACTAACACTATACATACAAATAAACAATGATCATTGACATTCTTCTACCATATTTATTTTGTCATAACTCATTTTCCTGTTCCAACGATATCGTTTTATGACTAATTCATCTGGCTGTATAGGTTATGGACAGGCTTTTTTGGGAAAAACCCTCATAAAACAATAAACTCGCACCTCTTATTCATAAGGGATTTCCGATTAAAGGTCTTTCCATGTAGGTGGGCTCATTAACTTTTCCCGGAAATCGGAATTTACTCTGCAGCAATGCGTTTTAAAGACTTGTTCTCGTCAATCCAAATCCTGAAAGCCTACGATCCACACAAAACATGAAAAAATATGTGAGAGATGTTCTATTTTGATGAAACCGCAGTCTGGAGAAAACTGTCAGTAAAGTACTTATTCGTTAAAAAAAAGCCGACTGCGACGAGTAGAAGGGCTGCTGACGCGTCTACCTATGTAATGAAACATGAGGCAGCCCATGCCATTCTATATTCTCACATTACGGGCACACAAATTTTTATATCGAATATGAGTTTTAATAAACTCACCGAAATATGAAAAGGAAAAGGAAATTGCAGTATAATATCAAATGAAGCTAAAACTAGCAGACAAATTCCAGCAGTGATACCGTCAAATAACAAATTCTACTTAGGGTGTCCTTACAACTAGACCACGCACCTTCCTAATTTAGTGAGAAAAAAAAGGGGTACCTGTCAGTTTTAAGGGTACTCAAGGTGGAATTTATTGTTTAACAGTGTCGCTGCTGCAATTTGTCTGCTAGTTGCAGCTTCATTAATAATAAAGCTTTTTAATGGGCTTAAGTTAAATGAATATACTTCATAAATCGAAGCTATTAATCCATATGATTTAAAAGTAGACTTTTTTCTGGGTATTCGGTTCGATTACCTCGAGTTACATGGCATGAAATAAACGAGACTGTTAAAAGATCAAGTCTAAATGAATTAGAGATAACACCGTTAGTGAGTACTTAATTATAATTCTATGAAAATAATTAGGACTGAAGATAAAGTAATGAGATATTTTTTCAGGAACTTCATTCCTCAACTAAAAATAATCAGATTTTGGTAAATCGTTATTTACACTGGAGCGAGTATGGAAATATCAGATCTAATTTGACGTTGCATTCAACCTAAGGTTACGAACAAAACGTAATTTTACCAAAAGAAGAAAAAAATTATGTGAGATTATGACACTGAGATACTGTTGCAAATTTAGAAACAAATTATGTCAATTAAGTTGAGTCTTTTCTGACCATAATTTTGAACCAGTATAAAACAGCATAGCGCTGCCAATAATAGCAAATTATTATACATGAACCGCACCTGTTTATAAGGAACTATTCGCCATGAGAATAAAGATCTGCAACGCTTTAGTGAATTTTTTTCCAAGACCGACGATATAAGTATTTGTTGCGATTGATTAGAAGTTTCTGTTGTTCTGTAATTTTAGTACATGTAAAATCGTGCAATAAGTAAACAGGCAGCACATCAATAGCAGTCAACACATACAAACACATAAATATTTGTGTTATTTGTATACATAAACTTCTCATTTCATCACGTGGTATATTAGACTGTTTACATTTCGGCTAGCGTCATTCTTGGCTTTGCCCTTCGTATTTGTTATTGATATACTACACTGGGATGACTAAAAAATTTCTTTATGGATAACTTATTGCACAAACTTACATGTGAGGGGGAAATAACTTCTCATCTGTCGGCGAAAATATTTGTACTCGGTTTTTTTGCATGAACTTGTGCAAAATGACCCCCTAAAATCGAATTTGTATGTTGCCAGGTCGAAAAGTTGGTCCATAACTAATTAACCAAATTTTTTAAACAAATTTTGCAAACCGTTTATTTTTAATTAAAAAAATTGTTTTACTATCTTTGGACTATAAACAAAAAAAGCCTTTTGCAACTTTTCTCTAAATTTAATACTTTGCGTTATATTAATTATTAAAGTTCGAAAAAATACGAAAATGGCTATTTTTATCCTTGAAAAACGATATGAACAACCAACACTTTCTATGTTGCTAAAATTCTTAAATACTCTACAAACATCCTTAAATATTTTCCCAAAGAGTTTTACTCTATTATTTTATTGCAACCCCTTGTTTTTCAACTCTGAGCTCTCTGACGCTATGAGAAAGTATATATCAGATACGAGAGACGCGGACCTTCATATAGGCATACTTTTTCATAGCGTCAGAGAGCCCAGAGTTGAAAAACAAGGGGTTACACTAAAAACTTAGTATAAAAAGATTTGGGGAATATATTCACGAATGTTTATAGAATATTTAAGAACTTTAGCAACATGAAAATTGTTGGTTTTTCATATAGTTTCTTATGAATGAAAATAGCCATTTTTTTGAGCTTAAATGATTAATATCTCGGAAAGTATTAACTTTGAAGAAAAGTTGCAAGAGACTTTTTTTATAGTAAAGAGATAGTATAAAAATTTTATTCGAGTCAAAATAAACAATTTGCGAAATTTGTTGAAAAAAATTGTTTAAACAATTTTGGACCAACTTTTTGCCCTGGCAACATGCAAATTCGATTTTAGGGGGTCATTTTGCACAAGTTCATGTAAAAAAATCGAGTACAAATATTTTCGCCGACGGATGCGAAGTTATTTCGCCCTCTATAAAAGTACAGAGTACCACCCACTCCTCATCCACTGCAATAAATGTTTATTTCACCGAGTCCGTATGTAACACGGCACAAAAATTAGCTCACGACAAGTTCAGGACTTGGAAAAAATCTGCTGCAGGGACTTTATCTAGAAAACGTAAAGTGCATATTTTTTTACTGATCTTTGCAGAAAAAAAATACATTGTTCATTCTCAAGATTTACTTCCTGGACAATAAGGTATTTTTACTTCGCTATTGTCTTTCAGTGCTTCCTTGTGTCATACGAACGTTTTTTATATCTACATGTTTTTCCCCCAGTGATCCTCGTCTATCATACATCTCATGTAGATTTATATAGATGAAGCTAAATACCATATTAGTGTGCTAGTGCTGACACTGGTTAAAGAGTGTGCTTAATGTACACCAGTTTACCGATTACGCGTACCATACCGTTTTTACTGATGAAATATGGCTGCCGAATCAAAGTCTGCTTTGCATGGCTTATTAGTTCTGACATAATAAGAACCATCTATAATTTTGTGATATAACTTCATTGTACCACTGAAAAAATATATCTTAGACTACTTATTAACCTAACAACAGAGTGTTTATTATCTAATAATGAAAAAAAAATAATGAATTGGATATCCCGCAGTAAAATTACGTTTCATCTACTAAAATTTAATATTAGACAATGTTGCTTCAAGATTATTGTGAGTACGAGGGAAATACATACATGTAACCGTCTCTCTTGCACTTATTATTAAATTAACACACGTGCCCTAACAGAGAATTCTTTAGCACCCGGATGGAAAATGAGTTACGATGTATTGATGACTGTAAGCTCAGTCTGGATCTATTGTGTTCGCAATTTTGGATCTATTCTGTATCAATAAATTATGACTGTGTAACGGATGATGTTACGCGATTTTTACGCTTTTCGTAACCTAGTGCAATCTGTTTGAGATGTTATCCCGATTTATTCGTAATATAACTCACAATGTAAGAATAGCATCGCATAATTGTACTACCGTTAGTTATATTCACACGAAATAATTGAAAAAATGAGATATTGAGAATTTATTATTCAGTAAGGAGGATTCAACAAATATGTACGATTAAAATAATGAGATTAAGTTATCAGAAAAATTAATTGCAATGTTACTCAAAGTTACATTACAATTCGAAAACCAGAAACTTTAAAGTTGAAATTAGTTTCCTGATAAATTTTCAACGATAGAAACGAGTAGCAGTGAATGCATCTTACTCATTAAATTAATATTTTTTATGTACCTCATTTGCATAAAACATTCTGTATTTTCTGTTTACGTGTTCTGTAAGTCTCATGTATATATTTTAATTGGTTTTTATATATTAGCACAAAATTTAATGTAGAATAAAATAAATACAGCATACGGATCCAGTCTTTATGCATTAATCGTTACGTGAAGCCACCATGGATTCGAAACTGCAAACACAGTAGATTTTTTCGAGGCATTAGCTCGGAGGAGCTCGTAAGGCCTACGAGACCTCTTAATAAGTAAAACAAATGATATAACTATGTATTTGAATATTGCAATGTATGATTATGTAATGCAATCAGAGTCAAATTTACAATTCGGCATTGGAAACAATCTGACAAATGCTGGACGTTATATATATGCTATATCGATGTAACCTTAGCACTTTAATGCATTGATAAGATGCTCGTGTTGAATTTCAAAGATATACTTTTGTATACATAACCTGTACTTAAGAATAGCAAAAATTTTATTTATTAAGTACTAAACACCCCCTTCGACTTTACGAGCAGTATTATCAACTCTTTATACAATTATCAAAAAAAGCTCTACTACCTATATTGTAAAATTACCACAATTAGTATTGGTCCGATATTTCCAACGCTAAGTTCATCTAAATCGCAAGTACAATAGTAAATTGACGGAAATTTTTGTAAAATATTCAAGTCAATGGTTCATTTACGTCGACAAGATACGTAAATTTTAACCAACAGGCCAACACGTTGGGGATTAAATTTTTTACCATACGAGTGACGGTATCAAATCCCTCCCTTTAACATCGCAACTTGCAGCTGGCCTAAAATTTCAAACGTGAAAAAGGAGTGGCTGAGACGAAAGCTTTCTCCGATCTATTTTTTCTACAGCTATTAGACTAGCGTCGCGTAATCCGAGCCGAGTAGAATCTACCAAGTTATGTTACATGCAAGTTATATAAATATATGCATATATAGATATCTATACATGTGCGAGTGTATGTGGTGGTGCATCGTGCAGTGCAGCACGCGTGTTTCATGCTATGTGCGCGAGAATCCGGCGCGACGAGTGTACATCAGCATTTGGGCCGCGGATACATAAGCGCGTGAGTGTGTTTTTGGATGGGTCACTGCAATCTGGACGTACCCGTAAGATAAAAAAAAAAATCATGCTACAATTTTATAATGCTTCAACTCGTATCTATAAAAAAAATAAGACATTGGACTTTTTTATGGGTCATTGAAATTTCGAGGTTATGATAAGCAGTGGTTAGATTAATGACAAATTCATGCAACTATATTACTGAGGCACTGGTATAAAAAAAAGGCTCATCGCCGATTATTTCAAGACAGCATTTCTGACAATTTGAGTACCAACAACTTTTATTGATTACTACATACACAGCTAACCTTAGTTTTTTCTTTTAAGAGAACTTTTTTTCTGTACAAGTTTCATGATAAGTATTATCGTGTGGATACATAATGAATATCAATATTTTGGTCATGGATGATGTTGCGTTGCGTGGACGAAGGCGCCTATGTAGGCAAAGCCTATAGGTACGTAAGTAGCAGAAAGCCACGAAATGTGCAAATATCACCGGGAAGCGGAAAGACGAGCAGAAAATTTGTAGATGACAGATATTATAGAAAGGGTAAGTATTGTAACGAAAAAACCAACGTCTCCGAAAGTGTAAGTGAAAAAGTGATCGTTGCTGCTTCTACACGTGTTAAATTTATGTACATAGCAAAATTTTTCGTATTATAAGTTTGAAAACGAGTCCTTTCATATGGTAGGTATGCTCATGCGAATATAGTGTTAGAGTCGAATCAGTATTCCGCAGTTGTTACCATGTAAAAATAAGCCAATGGTAAATAAGTGTCTCCACTCATAACTAGAAGTACAATTTAATCTCTTATTGATATAGTTGTGAAGACCGTAAGATAAGGGATCATTTGAGGAACTTTCTTGAATTTATGTTAATTTACTATAATATTGTTACTGCTAATGGCTTCACAGAGGTCAGTCTAATAAAAGTCTGTTTAATTTGTGACAAGTATCGTTTTTCAACTGTAGAATAAACAAGAAAATAAAATATACTAAGCCCCCATGGCGGTCTACAGGCACGCGCACTGTAGTTAGATGTGCTATATATACGGTGTGTATATGTGTGGTTTCCCAGCGCGCGTGCAGCACATGTTTCTCACCCTCTTCGAATGTGTAACAACAGTCACCACTGGGCTTTGGATGAAAGGTACTTATTCTTTTTTTTTTTTTTTTTTTCTTAAGATACTTGCACCTGGATGCTATTCAGGTAACCGCATGGCCACGTGAAAATGCATGTAAGTACAATAAAGTCGAAAACATCGATGAGAGACTTACCTGGGTGCCCCTCACCAACTGATTCCGAAGTGAAGAGAAAACTCGTGTCCTGCTGCAGCTCGGGCGCTGTGTGCCCGTTGGCGTAGCCGTTCATGTGGTGCGCGTTCTCTGGCATGGTCGTTAATGTCGTCGTAGCCGTACTTTCCGCCGTCGTTGTCGAGGTAGTAGTCTCCGGGAACTGTAGTTCCTCTGCCGTCCTGCGGCGCCTCTTGCGCAAACAGACTTCCTCGTCGCCAACAACCCTTTCAACCGCCTCTGTCACCTGCAATCAACACCACCGCCGTCGCCGATACCGCCGCTAAAGACGACTCCGTGGTTCCGGTAGACCTGATGAGCTCCGTGCGCGCACGCTCCTCTTGGCAGCCCTTACTAACCCGTTTGATCAAGACCTTGCTCGGGCTGCGTTCGACTGGGTGCTACTTCACTGCTGCTCCTCGTACGTATGCGGGTACTCGATGTGCGCTCTTGATTATGACGGTGATGGCACTCCCGAGGAAATGCTTTATCCGAAAAGAAGTTGTATCTACTCAACACGCGACCACTGCGGCTGGAGAAAGATCCAAGTCGAGCGTACGAGCTAAAGTGCGCGACTCTTGAGCTCTCTCGCTCTACTTGACCGTCTCGCTGTTGGGTCCCCATTCCCCAACCAACCCGCTCTTTCATCTATCCCTCTTACCCTGACTGCGCACTTGCGCAGTGTGCGTTTGCGCACGTAGGTACAATATAAACATAGGGAGTCGCGGCCTCGCGGGTCGCTCGCGGGTGAGTAAAGAGTATAGAGCCGTATATTACCTGTACATTCAATGTAGGCGTATATATACCATAGAGATATTATAAATATAATATCTCTATGATATATACACACACACGGTGTTTTTGACGTTTTTGTGTAAATGTAATGCATAATGCATACACAACATATAGTTACATACACATGCATTTGGGTGCGGGAAAGGAAAGTATATAGCTTAGAACGTATAGCGTGTCATGTACCAAGTTTCCGATTCGTCAGCTTTTGCGCATGACGTCATCCGATAAGAAATATACACATCAGGCGTGTGTTCCAGTAGCGCTCTACGACGACTTACCGACAACTTGAACATGACGCAAGATATCGTAAGACATAATTAAGTTGTCGGTAAGTTGTCGGAGAGCGTTACTGGAACACACCCCAGGCCAATTAAGCGGGCGCTATACTAAATGGTATTCAACGGCGCCCGCTTTAATCGTGCGCATGAGCCACATCTTACATTATCCTTCTATTATCATCATCATCATCATACGTTATCATCTTCATTATCATCACTATCACCATATTATGGTAAAATGTGCAGACACTTGTCTCCTTCATTTATCTGCATAACAAACAACTTAGTTTCTGTCAATTTTATTCTTTTACCCGACTGTTAAAAGAATATCTCATGCCAAGAACTCACCTGAGATCTCCACTAAGTTTTATTAAAAAATATTTNGAGATGATGCATCCGATGGAAGCAGGGGAGATTGAAGATCTAGAGTATATTAAGGGTCCTCGGGGTTCTGTGCTAGAGCGCAGGGACGTCTTATAAGGTCGAAGCGACCGGGTAGGAGGTTCGCGAATGCGGCGATGGTGGGGTTTGGGTGGTCGGTAATGGAGGTGCGGATTTTAGACGGATGCCCTGTAGTCGGTTTCCCTTTGCAGCGCCCAACGTTGGTATCGCGTAGGTGCTAATGCTCTTGATGATGGCGTTGAAGGTGCGCAGCTTGGTCTTCTGGGTGACTGCTTTATTGTTGAAGAAGGGCTTTAGTTGCACGAAGGCTCCGTATGCCTTACCGTGGGTGCTGTTGATGTGCCGAACGTACGTGAGTCAACGGTCTAGCGTTACGCCGAGGTACTTGGCAGAGTAGTTCCAGTCGATTTCTACTTCGTTGACTTTTATCTTCTGCAGTTTCTTTCTTGGATTTTTCCAAGAGACGAGCATGGCTATAGTCTTTGCCTCGTTTACGACCAGTTTCCAAATACTACACCAGTTATGGAGAGTGACGATGTGCTCGTTTAGAAAGGTGGTGCACCGAGAGTGTTGTTTTGACGTGCAGCTGAACGCGATGTCGTCTGCATAGACGTACACCCAAGGCACTTTATATTTGTCAGAACGATGAAAAATTACCTGTTAAGTGACAGTATGTCTTTGTTATATTATAGGTTATAGGACATCATTAACCGTATGTAGACCAATTGTTCCGACAGATATAAAGTGCCTTGATGAAAAAGTGTAAATATATTGATAGGATATCGAACAACAATAATCGAGCGCATGCTTGGTATTTTCACTTGTTTAGTTATCGGCCATAAATGAACATCTTCAAATGGACAGAATAGTGAAGTTATCAAAATAAAATTGTTTCAAATAATTCAAAAAACCTTTATTTACACGCAATTCCAATGGTGGTAAGGTGATTGATTATATTGTAGGCTATCCGTATGCCATCGGAAACACTAACGATAGCGTACAATATTATCAATCACTTGAGGGGTTAAATGTTATAAAAATGGATGACACTGATACCTACATATAGCAGTTGGACCTTCTAAAAACATATGTTTACAGAACGTTCTTCGTTTATAACAATTTGAACAATTTTTTTATGATTTTTGAAAGAAGCGAGTAAAAATAAACTTTTTTTGCCGATTTAAACTTTAATTTCTCAAAAAACACTTAGCAGAAACAGATAATTTTTTTTACATCAGCATTTTCAAATAAAAAACAGAATTTTTCTCTTAGGTACAATAGGTTGCTGTACTTTTTTTTTTTTTTATCCATTCACACAAACCGTCCCGTAAGTTTCGAATGTCGATTTCTCGAGGGATCGTGGGTTCGAATTCCGTCGACAATTATCGAGATTTTTTTCTCGGGCTTTTTTGATGGGATGAGTACCCAGGATGCCGAAACACCGCTTATCCAATTTTTAAAACAAATATTCGATTTTTTGGTGTTGTCTGGACCTCTAGGGGCTTCATTTTCCAAGGAAAAGTCAACACCTGGCCCGTTCATTGGGTAAAGTCACTGCTGGTTATAAAAAGGGTCAGTACAGTGAATTAGATGGTTTATGGGATAATATCTTTTCACTAAACTTGATAACGGCTCGGGTGTGCTTAAGACAATCCCTGCGCCCTGCAAATGGTACCCAGTAGGATAGATGACCGAGTCGTCTGAGGGGAAATTTTCAAGAGGCCCGCACGAAAGACTCGAATACTCGGAGAAAAGGATGGTAACTACAGAAAAAGAACAAGGAAGATAGAGATTAGGCACATAGGAAGGTAAAAATCCTGCAATGGGTATACGTGGAATCTCAATACAATATACAATATAATACCATACATCCAGGTAACCAAAAGTCTACTACTCAAGCCATGCGAACTTGGCGAGTAACTTGCTACTTTCGATTCGAAAAAAATACTCAAAACTGTGGAATCATTAGCAACGTTTGTAACCACTTTGTAAAAAACTGTCAGATCAATCAGTTCTCCAAAAAAAAAATTATATAAATGATGCCATCGTGCGAGAGACGAGAAAAGTATCTTTACCCATCGTAGTGTGTCTGTAATATTGAAATTGGGATCAATCGTTTGAATTTTCATTATCGATTCTGTTGAACAATTGCAAACTGTCATATTTATAGCAGGTAAAATAATTATTTTGGTCGAATGTGCGATTTTCTCTCTCTTGATACTTTTATACAATAATAATACCGATTGCTGCGCATGCGCCGTCTCTATAGTTCAGATATAGTTCTAATACTGGTCCAGGGTCCACTCCAACACACCTGGCACAATAGGTCTACTCGTTTTCTGTGTTTCTGGTAGCAAAAAGACAGGTATGGAAAACGCATACTATTGTGTTAAGTATTTACACCTTATAAATCGCTTTTGCAATGTTTATTGTGATAATAATTAATTTTATCTATGAAATATTGCCATAAATTAATCATTAATCAAAACCATAAGGGAGTCATTTAATTATCATAGAAGATATTAAATTTTTGTGGATTGGATTTTTGTGGTAATTTTCAAGATTTTTTTAGAGCTTAATTTTTTTTTTTAATTTTTAGTCTTTTTTACCTATCAGTACAATAATTAATCACGAAACAAAAACTTCTTCTAAAAATCCTTCTCACCAGGGTACCTACTAGATGATTTTTGAGTATTGAAACTATGTGGCAATTAATTATTAATTTTTTATTATTTAAGAATACTTTACTAAATAAGCACTGAATTTTTAATAAAAAAAAAAATAATAATAAAAAAAAAAAACAGATTGTTGGCATTTATTTATAAAGAAGTTCATTGCGTTGGAATAAGATTTATTTTCGATATTCATAAAATTTTTTTTTTTAATTTTGCATATGGCATATTTATAATTATATTGTAGACTGCAAAAACGAACTAAAAAAATTAGGTACTGTTTATCATGAAGGCGTAAGAAAATTGCAGAAAGATGTTCATTTTCTGTAAATAATAGTATCTAACTTTTAACGCGTCAAACACACTTATCAAAATTTCTCTTCGTTAACTGTAAGCAACTTATTTTAAGAAGGAATTCAATCTGAGAGATATATATATAAAATCAAATGTGGAAGAAATTTTTTTTTTAAATTTCATCAAGTTTGTGTTTACAGTCCATAATATCTAAACATGCCATTCCACAAAAATTCTTTTTAACTCAAGAATATGTTACCGTCAGGGGTATTATTTTAATAATTATTATATATTAAAATAACCATTTTTCTTTAAATTCGTTACCCCTGATGGTAACAAATAGTATTGACTGTTTAATCATTACATTTTTTTCTACTTTTTAGTACTTGGTACGTCTATTGATACGTTGCTAAAAACGTACAATGTAACCCACTGAGCCTATATGTATATTATTCGCTACGCTACTGCACAAGCTGAAAAAGCGATCGCAGCTATACCTGTGCTATTATGTGAAACTCAATGATATGTTTGTCTTCTCCCCAACGGAAAAAGTTAGCGTGAAAAAACGTAGCAAACCGTAACTTTCTGTGATGTAATGTACAGTTTGGTTGGATTTCGGACCACAGTTACAGTTTGTTACGTTTTGTTATGTTTGATTATCAACTACATCACATTGATGAGTCATATAGTCAAGACAACACATTGTCTTACGATTCGTTACATTTTATTATAATTCGAAAAAGACACTTGAATCTCGTGAAAAAGCAACTGTAGTAAACTCTAATAAACTGTAAGGAAATGTTAGTTGTTATCTGTAATGTTTTATAACAGCTTACAGTTTTTTGTAGTTTATTACATTTTTTTATATTTTATTATCATTGATAACTTTTAGACACATTTCCTTACATTTTTAAATAAAATTTGCCTTAAATGAAAAAAACTTGGGTAACTATTATGAAAAAGTATAAGTGTAACAGCATGTGGTAAATCATATTAAAACGTAAGAAAATGTAAAAAAACGTAACATAACATAATAAAGTGTAAGAAACGTCCACAATCCATGAGACTATTACAGTTCCTTATATTTTCTTACATTTTCTTGCAGGTAACGGCATATTACTACACATGTTCACTTTTTCTAACATTTTGTTACGTTTTCAAATAATGCAGAC